GGATGGGACCAAGCCCCCAATGAGTATTCATAGATCTTTATCTTAACAATATTATAAATTGTATATATTCATGATTTGTTGGATTTTTTAATATTATAGCCTTTTTTTTCTTTTTACTTTTAAGGGAATTGATGTTTAGAAAAGTTGAGGTTTGCTTTAGATTTTGAAGTTGGTAAGAGGTAAATAAGACTAGAATTCAAGTCTTCCAATTATTCTGTAGTTTTTTTGTTTTGTTTTGTTGTTTTGTTTTATTTGGTTTATGCTTTAGGACACTCTGAACATTGGGGCTCCTTTTGTTCATGCTGAGTCTCTTATTATGCTACTCTTTTGTTTTCTATGATTCCTAAAAAATCAGACATGAGGGATTATACATTCGCATGTGAAAATTCCTTCACAAATTTGTTCTGTAATTGTTCATATTTAGTCTATGTGCTTCCATACTGCCTCACACCTCTTGGGCAAAAGGACCTGCCTGAGAGCATAGTTAAAATTAATTAAAGGATCCTTCTATTTAGTGGAGAAAGAAGTCAAATTGGAGTTCTGTTTCACTGTGTCCATTTTTCCAACACATAAAAAACTACTTTACTATAGTGTCTTTTATTGATCAGGGAGTTTTAGGCCATAAAGTACATATAAATCAGAAATAATACTGAAATTGAGGAAATTCCATACCTTATTCTTCTTTTCAGTTTCCTAATTTTGTATTTCCCTTTCCAGGGCATCTCTATTGGCCTTGAATAGTATATTTCTTAGATTAATTTTATTTATAATCTTAAGCCAACTTTTATCTCTACTTCTCTCGTTCTTCTCTACCCACTTGTTAAGAAGGTGTTTTTTAATCAGTTCTCTCCTTAGACTATACTGTGCCCTGGAAGCCCAGGACCCTTCTGAGTTGTCACATCTTTCCACTCCCCACTCCCAAGGCAGCTCCTCAAATGCAACTTGTCTTCACTGTCCATAGCTCCTCAAATGCAACTTGTCTTCAAACAGTGTCTGTAATAAAGAGAAGTTCCAGAGTCAAGGAGCAGAGTAGCTCCTCAAATGCAACTTGTCTTCAAACAGTGTCCGTAATAAAGAGAAGTTCCAGAGTCAAGGAGCAGATTGAATAATAGTTACTTCTTCCTGCAATATAAAAATTTTGAGCCAGTCTTTGAAGTAGATATAGATGAATGCACAAATTAATTGGAGATCAAATGTGAACTTTTATATCATATACAATACATAAATGTAAGCATATTTTATATACATATAACTTATGTATATGTATATATGTATATATAACTATTATATATGTATATATAAAAACTATTGTATATGTGTATATAAAAACT